TGCCGGCAAAAGTTTTATAACTTACATTTTACTGGGCACCGGTCATGTGATCACATCACGTGACAATGACGTCATATTCCCACACATATATAAAGAAGCAGCCTGTCACTTGAACCTTCACAATCTCCATTCGATCCAACGGTTCAGTGCAACTTTAACAGACAGAGACGGTGACATCATCATGCTGGTTTTCCTCTTCCTGTTGGGCCTGGCTCTGGGTGCTGTGTCTTCTTCAGATGACCCTCCAATGGAGCTACAACAAGACACCTGTCCCTCCTTCTGGTTCTCCTTCAACGGCCGCTGCTACAAGTACTTCAACACAGAGAGGACCTGGGCTGATGCAGAGCTCTACTGTGTGTCCCAGGGAGGCAACCTGGTGTCTATCCACAGCACAGAGGAAGAGGATTTTGTCAAATTCCTGATCAAAAGCTCTGACCCTGCTGAGGGATATACATGGATCGGACTCAATGACATCGCCAAAGAAGGAAGATGGATGTGGTCTGATGGGTGTGCAGCCAAGTATTTCTTTTGGTATAGAGGAGAACCAAACAACAGCGGACGAGGTGAAGACTGTGTACTCAACAACTGGAGGGGGAAGTGGAATGATGGGCCTTGTTCAGCAACTTTTCCCTCAGTTTGTGCATCTCGCACAACTTGTCCTTAGCAGCTGAGATGTTACGTGATCACCTGTTTTGTTAACATGATAACAATAAAAACACAGATGTAAACTTATGTGTGCTAACAGAAGTCCTTTTGTCTAACCTTTATTTTCATGAATGTTACATATCCACACTGGTCGCTCCAGGGGTTAATCAAAGGAATTATTTCTACACCTTTTTAAAAAAAATACATTTAGTAAATAATATTGATGACTCATTACATTTTGATCCACAGATTTTAGCCGTTGCTTATTATTCCTGGTATTCTAGTTATTTGGTTTAACCATACAGTTGTATATCATTGAATGATCACATGGATGTGGTCAGGTATTTACGGCACCTGGTGTGTGGATGACCAACGGGCTGAACTTGCTCTTTTAATTTAGGAATGCTTCAAAGTGATGAGCCTAGTCTTAGCGACATTATTTATTGGGAAAAGTAACATCACTATTTTTCTGGTTATGGGAACAATAGGTGTTTAATGGACAGGGACACTACTTATCATGTTTATCTTTCACATGGACGTCAACGTACAAACCTAAAATGTACTCAACAGTACTATTTTCTGATAAACAAGACATTCATCCTCTGTTGTTTTAAAGGAAGACTAACGAAAGGAGGGATTGAGCTATAGGCTAGTTAAGATTACAGAGTATAATATATATATATATATAGCACTATTCAATATACCATAGTACTTGCATAGAGTATATTCAGGCAGGCATGGCGTGAAACTCAAAAAGTGGCAGCATGGTTACAGACATGTTTATCATCACCTGTGTCTCAGATTTCAATGCAATTCATATAAAATGAATGATTCTTGTTTTTTGTTGAAAACAAAAACCATCTAAATTATTCAAACAAACCTTTGGTTGATTGATCATCATTTAAAAAAAAAAGTCAAACTTTTTGGGTTTTTCCTTTGTGTTATTTGATTGAAGAGGTACTGGAAAACTATAAAATGTGTGTGAATGCTGTAAACTGTGAAAGCTTAAAGTAGGCTGAAGTTATGGAGAGCCAAAGTATTGGCTGAAATAATAAGGAGATTAAAGATTCGAAGAACTATAGTGGAATGCTGTAAACAGCATTCGCACTAATTAAAAATTGTAAATAGTGGGAGTTGAATTGAGAGGGAAGGAAACAAGAGTAGATATGAGAAGAGAACACAGGAGAGAGGAGATGTGTTGAGATGATTAAAATAGAAGAGAAGAAACAGTAACGGAAGACTGAAAGAAGAGAGGAGAGGAAGAGTAAGAGTTATTGTAAGTCGCTTTGGATAAAAGCGTCAGCTGAATGCAATGTAATGTAAAAGAGGGCAAGTATGAACCATCACATCAAAGGTACATTTTTACTCAGATGGATAATACATCACTTTAGTCTCTTAACATTTCAGCTGTTATTGACCAGTCTGCATTTGTTTGTTTTTTTAAGACAGGAGAGGAGGGCCAAATGAAGCCTGACCTATCATTCAAAACTTTCTTATCTCATAACTTTCATGAAGTTCACTTCATGACGCTATTTAAAGTTTGAAACTATTATTTACTTTGATCTGTGATTTGCTTCTAGAGTGAGGAGAGAGAAGAGGTGAGGAGGTGGGAGGCAACCTTAAATGTGAACCCTTAAAAATACCGTACAGTTCTCTTCATCACAACTGATAGTGACTGGTAGTTAATAATGAATAATCTTTCCCCAGATGTTTGAACTATAACTTCCCTTGTTTTAAACGTGTCTTTCAGAGAGAGGAGAGGAGGTGGAGGGCAACACTAAGCTGAAGCTTCTCATGTATAAGGTAAGTATCAATATCTTATTTTGATTATAATTCATGTATTGATTCACCAGTATTCTCTAAAGATTTTATTGTTATTTTTTTTACAGAATTAAGAAGAAGAAAGAACTGAAGAATAGTGGAGATGTGACAAAATGAATGGAGAAGAAACATTAAAGAGATTGAGGCAAAACATTGAGAGTGAAATTATGAATGTGACCTCATTTCAGTTTATTTAGAAACAGTGTTAGTTATGCAACAAAGAAATGTTATATTGAAATGATTGAAACGTGTGCAATGTATGTAGCGCTGAGAACGTTTTGGCTTATTTGAAGCTGAGTCAGCATTTTTGCTTTTTGAATGTGTCTCGATGGTTGAATGTATATCACTTTGGATAAAGGCGTCCCCTGAATGAAATGCATGATCAAACTGTGAAAGAATATTCTGAATAAAAAGTCAAAACTTGATGAAATATCTCTGTTTTGTGTCTAAGGTTTATGTTTGCATGCTATGTTGAATAAACATTAAAAAAGGCAAATATGTAAATGGGGTTTACCATTATGTTTGGTATAGAGCCTTAAACAATGTTCATGGTGCAACAAGGTTATCTATTTTCAAATGCTTCAGTAAAATGCAGCTGCAGGTTACTCCAAAACAGTCGGCATGATCATATTGAGTTATAATATAAACAGATCACACTTTGGACAATAATCCACATTACCTTGACTTACTTTATTTATCCTAGAAATGGATTATTGTGAAGAAAAGAAAACCTAATATTAGAGTTTAACTTTTGTTGTGTGCAGAGTTAAGATATAATTAAGGGTTAGGGTTCAGTCGGACTGAATGTGTCCCTTGGTACCTGTGGAGGTACAGAGGGCCCAGGACCCCGGCGGCCCCCTGGTTTAAAACGGATTATTTTGTAGGGATTTATTACAAAATCTTACACCGCAGAGAAGTTGGACCTTATTTGACTTTAGAAGAAATATCCCTAATATATATAATAAAAACGTGCTATTTTGATAGAAAGGAAAAAAATCTTCGTCCTCACTTCAAGAGAAAGTAAAGCAACACATCAAACTACATCAGATCACACAACGACTTCATTATTTGCGCCCAATTCTTTATAATTTCAAACAAATCACTTGTGATTTTTTTCAAATGACAAAACATTTAAATATAATAATAAAAAGTGTTGAAATATTATTGATATATATATTTTTCCATTATCAGTTTATGTTAAATGTTCTATTTCTGAGACTAAAACATAATCTTATTAAAGTGCATCAAGATTATGCTATTTTTAAAATATGAATAGTTATTATAATTGTAATACAATAAAACCAAAGAAGATCCATCTAAAACAGATAGATTTTTATAGAGATCATCAGGAGAGTACACTGTATGTGACTTTTAGATCATAGTCTCAAACTTGTAAATTAACAAATGTGGTCCTTTAAAGACTACAAACATGGCCTGTTGTTGCAGGCCTCCCTCTCGCGGCGGAGCATCACTTGCAGTCACAGAGCAGCGCGGCCCCCCTCAGGGTCCAGTGCTGGGGGGGCTGCAGGCTCCTCAGCTGCAGAAAGAAGATGAAGTTGAGGTCGGTGCGGCGCGGTTTCTTATAGACCGGACAGGAGTACAGGCTGACCCCCCCAGCGGGGGGCAGCTTGCTGTCGGCCGCCCCCCCACCCCCGCCGGGGGGCAGCTTGCTGTCGGCCATGTTGGCTGAGCTGATGGCGAAGACGTGAACCACGGGGAGGGGGCTGAAGAGGACCTGAGGAGCAGATTACTTTTATTAGTGTTTAGATTTGAGTACATTTTGCTCCATAATTGTATCAAACCATGTTTCCTGCATTATTGTTTCTTATTTGAATTAGTAAGGCATCACTTTGTTATTTATCAGTAATTATTGGTTTTTCAATTTTTTCATTATATATTTCATTTATTCATTATATATTTCATTTATTATTATTTATTATGTGTTTTTTTGTTTTGCCAATACATTTATTTTTCTTATTCATTTTATTTAATTATTTCAATGTGTTAGTTATGGTTTTCTTCCTGTTTTTCACCTTTGGGGGGGCCTCGCAGAGTTTGGTTCCTCGCCGATCCCACCCTGCCCCATCCAGGAAGAGGCCGTATATGTAGACCCCGCCCACTTCTTCTGGGGGCGGAGCCACCACATCTTCCTTCATCATCTTAGTGACATTGTTGCTAAGGGTGACAGTATCCAAGGCCCAGCCCCGGGTCAGGTTGGAGCGCGTGGTCTCCTGGCGCATGGCGGTCAGAAAACCCTTTACGAAAAACACCAAAAGTGACGAGACTCAAGTTATCAGGTTTCTCTCAGAAACACATTATCTTCAATAAGGAAGATACACATCTGGAATTTAGATCTTAAAGAGAAACTAAAACGTGTAAAAAACATGCAAATGACATTTTTACCCCTGACAGATGAAAACCACTGGCAATTGCAGATTTCATCGTATTTTTCTACCCTGGCTAATATTTTAAATGAATAGAGATTAAAGTGATACATTTCACAGAAAGGAATTGACCAATTAATGGAGAAAAATAACTTGAATATTCTCCAGTATTATAAAAATCTTCTTGCAATTATTTTTCCTTGGATCTTCTGCATCTTCTCACAACATCTATAACTATAATATTGACTTATTTTTTTCTTATTAGAGATTTTGTTATTTTCTTGGCTTTATTCTCAGGTTTGTTTTCGCAAAAGGACAAAAAGGTCTTTGATGAACTGTTCCTCTTTAGTATTTCCTGTTTGAGAAGTTAGATTTTTCTTGTTTGACTCTCCTAACATTGTTTCTAAACTCTTCTCTATGTCGGAGAACTTTTGTCCAACCTGAGGGTTGAAGAATCCGGTGAGCCAGAACGTGTCCGGCCTCCCGGAGCTGATCCAGCCGCGGAGCTGCAGGCTCCTCTCCAGCAGCTCGCTGAACCAGAAGCCCAGCGAGGCCGAGGGCCAGCTGGGCCGCAGCCACAGGCGCGGGACCCGGGCGTCGAACATGCAGTCCAGAGCGTCCCGCAGGTCCTCAGACATGATGATGGTGCCTGCAGGGACACAGAATACAGGACTATATTTACACGCACATAATAACGTTAAATATACTTGTAAATAGATATCACATTTGCCATAATAGTGTTTGTAGAATGTGTGTGTGTGTGTGCTGACCGTCAATGGCCAGTTTGAGGTCGGTGAGCGTGCTCCGTACGAGGCCGATGACGCGCTGCATGCGCTCCACTTCCTGTCGCAGGAAGATGTTCATTGGCTGCAGCGGACCCATCTTCTTCAGCTGACCTTTGACCTTCAAAACACACTCCACAGTTACTCAACATTTCTGCAGAGGACCATATCACTAGTGGATAGATGAATTATGATTCATAACACAAACTCTGTATTCATATGTATTGTAGTTATCAGGATGTCATTTTATTGTATATTTAAGAGTTTTTTTCTTGAAAATGTAATACTTACATTTTGACAATGGTGAGTTTTTCATCAGAAAATAAATCACCTCCCCTGGCTCCATAATCATTATTATTATTATTATTATTATTATTATGTATTTATTTTGAACCTAAAATGGAACTAATTGAATGTAGTGGAAATTGATTGATTCATTATTACTGCTTATTATTAGTACTGCATTTATTGTTTACCAAATACAAATGTGTTTATACTTTTCCTACGAGACCTATCTCAAAGTCCTTTTACTTCCATAGAAATTAATCTTAGTCACCAAACACACCTCGTGCTGCACGTAGTCCGGCGGCAGCTTCTCCAGCATCTCGGCGGCGAGTTTCTGAACGCTGGCCTCCCGTGTCTCCCCGGCCCCGCCCCCGGAGTCCTTTGGTTGGATGCTGATGATGGTGCGGAGCGTCTCATTGGCCAGGTTGGTCTGGTAGGTGATGTCAGCGTTAGGGTGGAGCCCAAATACCTGCAAAAAGGAAGTCAAAGGTTTAATGATGAAGCTGTTCAGGGTTTGGATATTTTAGGAGGATCTTTGTCATTTTCTTTTCCTTTTTAAATCTATAATATTTCTGAAGTAATGTGTTTAAAAACAACTGCTGTAACATTTTCCTAAATGTTTTGGATATATGATTGAATGAATGTCTGGGTTTCAAATGAATAAAAAAACGAGTTAATGAGACAAAAAACATCATACATTCTTAAAGGACAACTTTTCAAATGTATAAGTAAGAAAATTGAATAAATTGCACATGTATTTTTGTAACACCCAACATATTTTATTTTCATAACTTACCACCAGAATTTTTAAGAATATCTAGATTTTTGTCTGATGGAATGGACTTTGACATTTAATTTAATATTCCGTTCCTTACACACCTAATGTAAATAATATCCTGCTTTATATTGTGTTAACTGAAAATTGGCCCTTCAATGGTGTTTTATTTGTTTATCTTCACGGTCCACTTGTATATTTTCAACTTTTTTATGCTGTTTTATTTCTATTTTGAGATGTTTCTATTTTAGAATTGTTTATTTTGACTCTTTTGATTTCTACTTATGTGCAATGCCTTGTTTTTTATGCTGCTGCAACACAAACATTTCCCAATTTGGGATCAGTAAAGTACATCTTATCTTATCTTATAATAAATGTACAACATTATCTCGGAAATTAAAAAATATTAGGTGTGTTCACACCGGAGTACTTTTACCCGTACTTTTCCCGTTTAGTTCCGTCAGTGCCTGGAATTTTGCGTTCACACCAAAAAGAGAACTTAGTTCAGAGAAATGTTACCCCCTTTTTAGTCCCTGCTACAGAGGTGGGACTATCCTGGGGAGAAAAAAGTTCAAATTTCTGATTGGCTGGGCGAATTGCAAACCACGCCCCGTAAAACTCTGAACATTTTTGTGAAGCCCCATTGTATTTGCTGGCATTAGCGTTATTAGCATTAGCATTAGCCCCGTGCACCAACGAAAAAAGATTAACTTATGGCAACACAAAAGAAAACATGGGAGCGTTGGAGATGAGGAGGTGTCGGCGTTCTGGCGATTTACTCGGAAGGCTTCAGTAGAAGCTGCTGGGAGTCCCCGGATTTGGGGACTGAAGCCAGTCCCCAACTCCGGGGACTTCGGGCTGGGAACTTCGGGTGGCAGTATACGCCGTGAAGTTGTTTGCGGCCTGCCAGTAAACCCAAAGCAGAAGAAGAAGAAGTGACGTCAGCGGCTTCATTTGCCTAATCCTCCCTCAGGGACTTATTCCGGTGTGAACGCGATCTGTACGTAGTTCCATGGGGGTACTAAGTGCTGGCACTAAGTGCTGGGAACTAAGTGCTGGGCACTAAGTGCTGGGAACTAAGTACGGCAAAGTACTTGGTGTGAAAGCGGCTATAGCCTAACACTAAATAAAAGTGGCACGTTCCTTAGCATGGACCCCCAGCCTTCCTGTTTTGACGCTGCTGTGTGTGATGCTCTGACCTCAGGAGAGTCAACCAGCGGCAGGGTGTCGATGTGCTGCAGGACGTCCTGCACCAGCCTGGCCCTACCCGGGATGCTGTAGCCCGTATAGAAGCAGAAGGTGTCGCTGAAAGTGCTCTCACTGAACCACACCCCAGTGAAGGTGTTCAGGAGACACTTGTCCAGGTCGTCTGTCACCCGGCCGCCGTACTGCACCTCGCCTGCACAAGGACAGAGGCAGGTTGATGTTTTTATAAAAAGAATGAAATAAACAGAGAGATAGTTTGTCTTTCTTCTTGGTTCATGTGTTGGCAGTTTCAGTGTGAAAGTGTTGACGTTATTAAAAGATCGAACCTAATATCCCAGTTGTTCTATATTCACGTATTATTCCAAGAAGGAGTTTCCACAACAGTTGATCCGGCACATTGTTATCTTTTGTCTTTTTTCATATCCTTCCTCTTTGCGTCTTAAATCTTTGAATCTAGAGATGTTGTCCTAACCAATCCCAGTGGCTTTAACTAAACACAGTTTATCTTGGAAGCTAATACAACAAATCTTAAATGATCTTCTTTAAACAACTGCATTTTGTCAAGACTACATTTGAATACTACATAGTAACAGATTTCCATGCAGATCTTTTGCTCACAAGGTAGCATTTTCAGGTAAGAGATTTGGTAGGCGTCAATTGAGAGTTGAATGACTCCCAAACACATTTTCTATCATCTTCTGGGACACTAAAGTATCCGTGATACCATGGAGAAAAAAACAACATCATCTTTTGTTGTTGAATTGTGGCATCAACTTATTACCAGAGTTTGGTTTGCATGACATCCCTACTTCCAGTCCATTGCATCTTCTTCTTGTTGTGTCTGTTTTTATTGTATCTTGTTCTAAAGTAGAAGTAGATGAAACCATAAGAGGACCAACCCAGCATGTAGCGCAGGCAGCTCCAGTCCACTCCTCTCTTTGAGTCCAGGTCGTCCAGGTGGTTCTGCACAAACTGCATGCTGGAGGTAAAATCTGCCTGGTTGAACTCGTAGGGGATGTTCCAGCCGAGAGGACCAAACTTACGGCGCTCCTGATGGGAAAGAGAAGAAGAGAAGTGAGAGGGGAACTTTTCCAAATCATCCAGGAACACATTTCAGTTTGTTTATATGAGAATTATCTTTGCAGAGACTATTTGTGTATCTGAATATGCTTTTTTAAATGATCATTTTGTGGTAAATGTAGCATTTGTGTGGACAGACCTGCACGGTGGTGTGCAGGAAGGCCACGGCGTACAGCAGAGGTTTCCACTGAGGCAGGCTGCTGATCTCTAACTGATCCTGAGTGACAGCACTGAAAGTCCTCTTCAGACCCGCCTTCATCCCTGAGGTACACACACGAGAACAACAACATTTTCATTAAAAAAATAATACAATTAAATATAAAAGACAGACATATTGAGTACGAGTTTTAGTTAATCAAATGAAACTGTTACCCAGAGGAGGTTCATTGGTGAACTTGATGGAGGACTGAAGGAATGTGATGGGGAATCTGCACACAAACAAGCACAGTAACATTATTCAGCAAATGTTATATTTAAGTTCCTTTTCTGATAAATTATCATTGGGTTTCTTGTGTTACCTCTCGTGCACGTCTGTCGTCAGCCACACACGGAAACCCTTATGCACACTGTCTGCCGTCGCTGTGGTAACCGTCTCCAGCAGCTCTGGCAGGAAGTCCAGTCCCAGGTGGCAGTTCTGGAGGAGGAGCCAGCCACCGTCCGTCATGCTGCTGGCCAATAGCCTGCGAGCGTGCACCTCCTGGCCCTGCCCCATGGAGATGGACCGGCACGGCGCCCCCTGGAGGCAGAGAGCAAAACTTGATTCATTACATTACATTACAAATGTATCCAAAGCGACTTACATACTCAATACTGTGGGCAATCCCCACAGGAGCAATTTGGGGTGAAGTGTATCAGGGACACAACGACATGCTGACTGCAGTGGGGTTTGAACCTGTTCCGAACACCAACGCACTAGTCCACTGCGCCAGACGCCTCCATTCATAAGTGCTTTAATGCATTTTTTGTCCATAACTAACCTATAAAATACTGTTCAAACCTTCCTCTTTCCCTGACCATTTCATTGTCTCCTCTTGTTTTAATCTATTGAAATGTCCTGTACTGTCCCTCTCCCATCCTTCATGTTTCCTCTCTCCACCGATTGAGTTCACCTTGTTCTTGGCCAGCCTCTCTATGTTCTCGGTGGGATCGGAGCCCATGGACAGCAGACAGACCATCGGCGTCCTGCTGGCACTCTCTGCCAACATGGCGTCCAGGTCCAGAACCAAGCCTTCAGCGTACTGTGGACCCAGGGAGTCCGAGATGTAGCGGCGCGCCTGCTCAACACACAGATACAACATATGTTTTATTCTTGTTGACAGACATAGCAGGGAAAATGAGACAAGCTGTGGAGATATTTTCTGTAAAAGTATAATGTTATTAAGAGGTAATCAATCAAAAAATAAGAACAGAGGGGAGGGGGAATAGCAGGATGATAAACAAACATTTGAATGCCGTCATTGGACGTGGGAAAAAGCGGTAAAGGATGATTATTTTATGTTCTTAAAAATCCGTTTTTTGTTAGGGGAAGGAAAACGTAAAATGTAGTTATGAAGTAATCAGTGAGGGTACGTTCTCCACAGCAAGCTCCAAAAGGAGTGAGAGATAATATACAAACGATGATTTTTAAGTTAAACTACAGGCGCTCTGCACACCAGCCCGTTATATTAAATGTGTTTTGTGTTGTTCTTTTGGTTTAAGATATATATGTTATAGGAAAACACAGAACAAAATGACTTTCAGCGCATGTTTTATGTTTTCTGTAGTTTGCATTACTGTAAGGCTGGGCATGTTAGTATTACATTTCTACTAAACATGATTCTTAGATAGTTTGATCTGTCCTGCAGAGCTAAGCCTTCAGACCTGAGCGGTGGTTCGGTCGGGACACCAGCTTCGTATGAGCAGAAGCTTCCGGAAGGTGTCGAGCTTCTCCTCGTACCCATCAGGCAGTGGGGCATCTTCTGGTGTTGGATGGTCAAACCACGCTCTCCAGGCGCGCTCGTTCTGGATCACCTGGAAAGGAGGAGAGAACACTTTGGTGGGTCTGTGTCCCAGCTTTACCTGCTCACCTTCACCTGGGTCTGGGCTGTACCTGGGTCAGGATCTGGGAGAAGGGCTGCAGGCTGGAAAGCTGCACCAGGTTGAGCCAGGTCTGATCCAGGATCCAGCGCCGCGGTTTGGACTCTACAGAGTTCAGATCCAAAGAGGCTCCACCTACGAACACAAACAGCATTTTCTGTTGAAATACTTTGGTGTTTAAAAAGTAAATGATGGAGAGAAGGATGGGAGTGTGACCTTTAACGAAGGTGAGCACCTCGGGGTGCGAGATGTTTCGGGCCTGCAGGGCGATCTTCAGAGCCAGGAGCAGAGTGAACAGCAGTTTGTGTTCTTCATACAGACTCCTGGCTGTGTAACAGTAAACCTGAGGGAGGGACACACAGGAATCCAGTTCAAATCATTACAGCAGACTCTTATAGGCTTGGAGTTCTAGTATGAATGCAGACTATAGATCAGGAAGTGGACGTAGCCATAGTACGTCACCCATTGGTGTGTGGACTTCTGCTTCAAAGCTTCCAGTTTAGCATTTTGACATATTGGTCATGTCATCTTGTTTTTGGCCTTCTCCAGCATGTGTTGTTTGGCTCTTGCTATCTTGATGTTTGGTTGTCCCTATCTAGGTTTTCAACCACATGTTGTCTTTTTAAGCCGTCACTATGTTGATGCTTCTTAATCATCCATTTTACCCAAATGTGGACCATACTTTAGTATATTAACATATTGCTGTACTGAAGAAAAAAAATGATGACTATAAACTAATCAGAAAAGTGTAAACCAATAGACTTTTCTAACTTATTTTGGCACCAAAGGAGTTGTCCCCTGCTAGATAGCAGAGAGAGTGAAATACACTTTTAAGACACAGAGGTTATAAATATGTAGAAATATGAAATGCAGATCATCTTTGCTGCTGGATGATTTAAGGGTCACGTCTTTTGACTAAAGCACCTTGTAGGTGAGGAAGCTGATAATGTTGCTGATGCGTTTGGAAGTGAGCTGAGACTTGGCGGATTGCAGCATGGACGAGTCAAAGAGTCCCAGGAACTGCCGCAGCGACGTCTGGTACATGATGTTGACCAGGGACATCTCCACGATGAGGAAGTATAGGATTCCCCCCCTGGTGGCCACCGGGCGGTACTCCTCCCTCGCCTGGTTGATCTTCAGCTCTGTCTCCGCTGCAACCGACAGCTTCTCACTAACCTGGAAGATGATTTGGTGTCACTTAAATTAGAGAAACTTTCAACATTACATTTCATTAAAGACAGCCAGTAGGCTCACAGACAGAGACAGTACCTCCAGAGCAGTAGTCTTGGTGACCCTCAGCACCTCAATCAGAGACTGGTCCTCCACTAAGGACCCCTGGGTGCTGGTCAGCCGGAACAGGAGACTGTCCTCCAGCTCCTGCATCTTCCTCTTGTTGGATGTCACCTCCTCTAAAAGCTTTCCTCGCTCCGCTTCCAGCTCCTGAAATGTAGGATTCGAGCAGATATAAATGCACAGGGATTGACTTTTAAAAAGAATCAGCGTGTTTTTCATTGCGGTGATTTTATCTTCAAAGGTCACATTGGATTAAAGGCCTAAACACAAAATTACAGTTTTCCCTTTTGTCAGGATAACAAGATCTACGCTCTCAGATTGGCCATTTAAGTACATCTTTTGGTGTCTATTTGGAAGACAAACCAGAGTCACATACAGAAGGGTAACAGACACTGCTGGACTCAAAAAGCTTAATTTAGGCAACAAAAAACTCTAAATAACTATCTGAATATCTAGCTGAATGACCTGTTTCTCCAGCAGGATGACCCTCCCCAGCAGCTGGTCCTCCAGGCCTCGCTGGGTGACTGTGAAGTCCACCACAGCCGTCCTCGCGCTGACCTCAGGGCTGTACGCAGGGTTTGCCAGCTTGGTGGTGATGTAGAGCGTGAAGCCCTTCATCACATCCACCTCCTTGTCTCCTACCTTCACCTGTAGGCGAGAGAGAGAAGAAGAAATCACATTGGGAAGTCTGGTTGGACTTATACAGCTGCAAGAAAAAGTATGTGAACCCTTTGGAACTACCTGGATTTCTGCATAAATTGGTCATAAAATGTGTTCTGATCTTCATCTAAGTCACAACAATAGACAAACACAGTCTGCTTAAGCTAAAACCACACAAACAATTTTATGTTTTTATTGAACACACAATGTAAACATTCACAGTGCAGGGTGGAAAAAGTATGTGAACCCTTGGATTTAATAACTGGTTGACCCTCCTTTGGCAGCAATAACCTCAACCAAACGTTTCCTATAGTTGCATATCAGACCTGCACAACGGTCAGGAGGAATTTTGGACCATTCCTCTTTACAAAACTGTTTCAGTTCAGCAATATTCTTGGGATGTCTGGTGTGAATCGCTCTCTAGAGGTCATGCCACAGCATCTCAATTGGGTTGAGGTCAGGACTCTGACTGGGCCACTCCAGAAGGCGTATTTTCTTCTGTTGAAGCCATTCTGTTGTTGATTTACTTCTGTGCTTTGGGTCGTTGTCCTGTTGCATCACCCGTCTTCTGTTGAGCTTCAATTGGTGGACAGATGGCCTTAAGTTCTCCAGCAAAATGTCTTGATAAACTTGAGAATTCATTTTTCCGTCGATGATGGCAATCTGTCCAGGCCCTGAGGCAGCAAAGCAGCCCCAAACCATGATGCTCCCTCCACCATACTTCACAGTTGGGATGAGGTTTTGATGTTGGTGTGCTGTGCCTTTTTCTCTCCACACATAGCGTTGTGTGTTCCTTCCAAACAACTCAACTTTGGTTTCATCTGTCCACAGAATATTTTGCCAGTAGTGCTGTGGAACATCCAGGTGCTCTTTTGCAAACTTCAAACGTGCAGCAATGTTTTTCTGGACAGCAGTGGCTTCCTCCATTTTATGACCAACTTATGCGGAAATCCAGGTAATTCCAAAGGGTTCACATACTTTTTGTTGCAACTGTATACAGTATAGAGAGGGGATATGACAGAGTACGTTGGAAATTCATGTTGGAGAAAGACTTCACAGGAGTCCTACTTTATAAGTGGATCCAGACTTGATGTAGTTTTTGTCCTAGTATGTTGTCCAGGACAGGGTCCAGTTCCTCCCCAACGTCCTCCAACAGCGAG